GTCTTAACACGTACAAACGAAAATAAGCGTTCCTCCTAAATGCATCATTTTAAATTGGTCTTCGTATTCCATATATATATATATATATATATCCCTCATCGTTAGCACGACTTGGGGTTTCATGCAGAATGCAATTTTCAGGTGCAGAGTGTAGACAAAAGACAATAGGAAAACTGTAATAGTTGCCGACGCGTTTCGTCCAAAGCAAAAAACGAAATGAATTTAATTAAAGAAAGTAACTAATAACTGCTAAGAACATTCTGTTTTTTTATTATTATTAGTTACTTTCTTTAAATAAATTCATTTCGTTTAGAAATATATTCGATAATGCATTTCGCCATTTAAGGCTTCATCAGATCCGAAAACGAAAGATTGAAATGTGTAGCTCTGTGTGTGTGTGTGTGTGTGCATGCATGCGTGCGTGTGTGTGTATGTGTGTGTGTGTTTGAGTGTGTGTGTGTGTGTGTGTCTCTCTCTCTCTCTCTCTCTCTCTCTCTCTCTCTCTCTGCTTAAATAAGCAATCTGTACTTTTTCCCTTAGCTGGCGTTTCTTGTGGCTGAAATGAGTGACTTTTAAAAACTTCGTTAACATTTATTCTAGTATCTGTTCTTCACTCTTAGTCGAAAGTTGTTAATGTATTTTTCCAACATTTTTTTTTTTACTAAAGGCAAGTCCTTTTCTTCTTACCAGAATGGCTCGAAAGTAAAACAAAAAAATTATTTAGCCTTTTCTGAAAATCGATCCAAGGTAAATCCTCATATCATCCTTTAGAATGGCTTTTGGTTTTGTTTTGTTGTTGTTTTTTTCTATCCATGCATTTTCCGTGTCGACAGTATCTGTTTTAAAGTACTAAGAACCATTATTTAAGCATACACACACACAAATACACATACACGCATTTCATTCTTTTGACAATTTTTTGTATTTCTCTTAAGCTGGGCTTTATTATTATTATTATTATTATTGCTGTTGTTGTTGTTGTTTTTGTTGCATCATCTTGTCAGAAAGTCATTTTAAGTGCTTAATTACCAAATCTCCTCCGGGGTCTATGAGTAGAAATGGCACTGTAGAAAAGTTATTTATACACATCTGGGACGTTTCGTTTAGATGAAGAAGGTTTTGCGGATGATATATGTAGTTCTGCGCAAAGTAATCTTTTATAGCCCTGGGGTGCTGATGGTGTCCAGGAACTTTACTCACATAGTTTTCGGTACCCTTCTTTATTATAGTCATTGCCCCTATCACAATAGGGATAATAGTAGTTTTACTTTTCCAAATTTATGTTACTTCGATTTACATTATTATTATTATTTTTATTTTCTTTGATTTCTGGCGTTTACATATTTCTTTCTGGGTCCCGTCAGGGACCTAAGGTTAGAAATGGCATCATGACACTTTCCACTGACAAAAAAATACATAGACAAAGCCCTTCGTAAACTGTGGGCTGTACTTGGCAGAACAATTTTTTGTATCTCTTTGAGGCATGGACTTCCAGGAATCCCTTCGATTAGTCTACTGGAATCTTTTCCAACCATTCCTAAGGCTCCAACTACAACAGGGATTGTTGATGTTCCCATGTGCCACATTTTTGAGATTTCTATTTCAAGGTCCTTGTATTTTGACAGCTTTTTGAAGATCTTGAAAGATATATTGCAGTCAGCAGGGACTGCCATATTAATAAGGAGGCACTATTTTGTTTGTGGTCTTTAATTATTATTATTATTATTATTATTATTATTATTAGCCCATTTGAAAAAGAAAAGATTATTTAGGAAAATGCTAAATTTCAGAATTTTCGGGCACACCAGTGTCCTTTCTCAACGAAAAATGAAATGAAGTTGAACACTTTTTTTAACGTTTAAAGAAAGTTGTTTTACGCACATGTAAATTTTTTTTAAGGAACTCGTGATTCTTATGGGATGGTTGCCCCTTGAATAGAAGATATAATATTATTTATGAACTAGTATACAAATGCCGTCAAAATTAATGACAAGAAGGAATGTATTATAAGTAATATACATTATATTGTAACTAATTTTCGTTTAATCCCGGGACAATTTTGTAAAATAAAATAGTTCGTTGTTAACGTTAATAATTAAACAGTGTACAATTTATAAACACCTAAGGAAAAATATCCATATATTATCCTAATAAAATATCCATATATTATCCTAATAAAATATCCATATATTATCCTAATAAATGTCACATGTTTACAACCCAAATCATGCTTACTGCAAAAGTTCCCAAAGCACAATATTTTTTGTGTAAATTTTGGAAGATCCGAGTAATCCTTCACACTGTAACTTCAGGTTCTGCTTATTTGTCGTCTTACTAAGAGCAACATATCATCAGTTTTTTTATTAATTTTTTTCCCAAGCGATTACCAAATTCCACAAGATATGCCCCGAATTGTAACATACAATAATTACGACAAAATAAATATATATACAGACTCAGTATCATCCAATACACCTTTTAGCAAAAAAAATTATCGTATGATTTGTATTTGCGAAGATAATTCTCAGAATTAAAAAAATAAAAACGAACAGGAATAATTATTATTCCTGTTCGTTTTTATTTTTTTAATTCTGTTGATAATTTCGAAACGCCGTATGTATTTTTAAATTTTCTATTCTCTTGAATTTATTTCCGTATCTTTTTTGTGTAATTGTTTTAACTTTTTATTATTCATTCATTATTGCAGAATTTAAAAACGAAACTTAATATCTATTCTTGTTTTTACTTTACTTTACAAAAACAAATTTCTAACAAAATATCTTGAATTAGCCCAGGCTCCGCCCAATCCTCGAAACTATGACACGAAAAATAATTTTTACTTATGCTATGGAAAATAATTTTTTAGTCAATCTTTAAAAAAATAAACTTCGTAGTTTTTTTCTTTTTTTGCAGGGCGGGGGGTTGTTACTAACATGAAAAAAGTAAATAATTTTAAATAAAGTTTTATTAAAGCAAAACTATTAGCGAGCCTTATTTTTTCGAAAATTAATTTAAAAAAATATAATTAAATTCGTAACACAAATATTAAACACGACTAATATTGACCGTGACTCATGTCTTTTCTTTCATGTTTTTTTATTTAACTAAAGTTCTTTCTTTTTCTTTGCAAAAACAAATATGATTTGAATTTGGACAGATAGGTCATCGATATTTTGCACACTTCAATTGTTGCACACAAAAACGGAAATATATATATGTGGCTTATTATATATATATATATATATATATATATATATATATATATATATATATATATATATATATATATATATATATATATATAATCGGATAAAAAGAACATTCGGACAGTTTTATATAATTTATCATCCGAAAAGAAAAAAAAATTATTAGATCGCATTAGAAATTTGTATATAAAGCTAAATAAAAAAGCACCTTGTCTGTCATATTCAATGAAATGTGCATGAAGAAGGATTGCTGCCTAAATACACAAATTTTAAATATTACATATATATATATATATATATATATATATATATATATATATATATATAAAACGAAATCTGCACATGCGCAAAATGCCTTTCATTGAAGTTTTTTTTCCTATAGATCTTCTATTTCTTTTTTAAGTTTTCTTGATGTAAAGGTGAAATAAATCCGATGAGAAAAAGAATCGTATTATTACTCTTTCCATTATTTTGTATTCATTGAGTTCGATTTCTATCCGCACGAAGGACGTTTGTTCCCAATAATAATAATAATAATGAAGCTGACGTCGCACTTAAGGACTGATTTCAGCGGCAATTAAGCAAATATTTAACCGAATATTTTGTAAAAGAATCTAGAACATTTTACATCAAACTATATCCATCATTATTTTTCTGTTATTTTTTTTTCTTTCTGAAATGATAAAATCTCTGTTGTTACAGAAAGAGAGAGGCATTTGGATATTTGAGTTAAAAGACAATATAAATGGAAATAGGCGAAAAGGATGTTGTAAGGAAAGACTGTAATGGCTTCGGAGTAAAGAACCGATAGCTTTCATTAAGATAACAAGTGTAAGAAAGAAAGAAACAAACAAACAAACAAACAATTGCTTGAAATGACATTTTCCTCTCTCTTATTATTTGGTTGTCAACAAAAGAGGCAGTTCAAAGAGTGAGTTACATATTGGTGATGCCAAAATCAAGCAGGGACTATGTGGGTAGTGAAATAGCAGACGACGAAATCCAATGGCACATAGGGACAGAGAAAGATGTCTTTCAGAAACCAACCAATTTATTAAAAGATACGAAAAAAGTTGTTAGAAACAAAGAAAAAAGTGCTGATGTAATATCTAATCTCCTATATATCAGTGAATACCGGGCAGCCTCTGCATGCCTTTTATAAACTAAACAGAGTCTGAAAAAATAGGAAAATGTCGTTAGAAACAAAGAAAGTTGCGCTAAACTGCCATATAATATATAATCTCCGATATGGCAGTGAATGCTGAACAATCTCTTCATGCCTTTCATAAACTAAGCAAAGTATTAAGAGATAGGAAAATGTCGTTAGCAACAAAGAAAATAGTGCTGATGTAATATCTAATCTCCTATATATCAGTGAATACTGGACAATTTCCGTATGTCTTTTATAAACTAAGCAGAGTATTTGGATATATGAGTTAAAAGACAATATGAAAGGAAGTCGGCGAAAAGGATGCTGTAAGATAAATCTGTAATGATATGCGCTTTCGGATAAGGAACGGAGAGATTTGATCAAGAAAACAACAAGGAGAAGGAAACAAAATAAAGAAACATAAATATTGATAATAAATTAGATATAACCATCTAATTTATTTTAAACATTTAAAATTCAACTTTGAAGCTTTCCGAGGAAGCATGAGGTCATCTTGTTAGATTAATTTCCCCAAAATATAAGCATTTGACCTTTGCTTGTACTTCCGGTTGAAGAAAGGAAAAACAACTATTGAAGGAAAATTTACTGGGAATTAAAGAAAGAGAAAAAGCAGAAGAAAGAAGTCAGGAGAAAAAATGAGCAGGAAAGAAAGAAAGAAAGAAAGAAAGAAAGAAAGAAAGAAAGAAAGAAAGAAAGAAAGAAAGAAAGAAAGAAAGAACAATGAGAGCAGTAGGAAAAAGAAAGAAAGAAAGAAAAGAAAAAAGAAAGAAAGAAAGAAAGAAAGAAAGAAAGAAAGAATTGAAAAACAAAACTAAATAGAAGAATGGACTGAACGGAAAGAAAGAAAGAAAGAAAGAAAGAAAGAAAGAAAGAAAGAAAGAAAGAACAATGAGCAGTGGGAAAAGAAAGAAAGAAAGAAAGAAAGAAAGAAAGAAAGAAAGAAAGAATTGAAAAACAAAACTAAATAGAAGAATGGACTGAACGGAAAGAAAGAAAGAAAGAAAGAAAGAAAGAAAAAAGAACGAAAAACAAAACTAAATAGAAGAATGGACTGAACGGACAGAAAGAAAGAAAGAAAGAAAGAAAGAAAGAAAGAAAGAAAGAATTGAAAAACAAAACTAAATAGAAGAATGGACTGAACGGAAAGAAAGAAAGAAAGAAAGAAAGAAAGAAAGAAAGAAAGAAAGAACAATGAGCAGTAGGAAAAAAGAAAGAAAGAAAGAAAGAAAGAAAGAAAGAAAGAAAGAAAGAACTAAATAGAAGAATGGACTGAACGGAAAGAAAGAAAGAACAATGAGCAGTAGGAAAAGAAAGAAAGAAAGAAAGAAAGAAAGAAAGAAAGAAAGAAAGAAAGAAAGGAAACGCAGAGGGAGAAAAAACCGAAAGATGAAAAAAGGTAGAATAATTAAAAAAGATAAAAGAATATATATATATTAAAAAGAATAGGAAATAAATGAATGAATGAAAGGAAGAAGAAAGAAAGGAAAGAGGCGTGGCTTCCTTTACGGTGGGAAAGCCATACATTATGTTGAAACTGACGACGCATGTGTTCCACGTTGCTATGGAAACAGAAGAAAACACTAGTAAACACAGTGAATAGTTTTCAAATGAAACACGCCAAATTCGGAAATACTCTCTCTCTCTCTCTCTCTCTCTCTCTCTCTCTCTCTCTCTCTTTCTCTTTTCCGCTCTCCCCTCATCTATCTATCTATTTGAGACGTTTTTATGTTTAGCCCCCTATTTATGTATCTATCCAATTATGTTAATATCTACCTCGTTTACCTACATATGCGCCTCCAAAAAAGCGCTACCTAAGGTTTTAAATACATTGAATCTTTTATTTTATCTTTAATTCCAATCTAATAGATTAAATTTAAATAAATACTTCTTTCTTTTTTTTTTTTTTTTTTTTGAAATCGCTACAATCTCTAAATTTGGCCATATTGACAAATTTATCAACACAACATAATTAAAAATCTTTCAAAAATAAAATATACTTTTTCTTAAATTCGGATTTAAAGTTTAATTAATCTGAATTTAAACAAATATTAATTACTTTTAGTTCATAATATCGTAGAAAAGCATTTTCCTAGCACGGTAGTGGGTGTTTTTTTTATGATGCGTTGACACATATCGAAAGCTTAATTTTGGGGATTTTTAAGTAATGGGAACGTAACTACAAAAAGAATTACTTGACGAATGTGAATTGTGAACGACTTTTTTATATAATGCTCAACTAACCAGTAATCTTAAAAAATTAGGAAAATATTTTAAGTAATCTAATTTTATTAGATTTTTATGTATTTTGACTCTATAGTCTTACTTTCAAAGACAATTGTTGAGGAAATGTTAGAAAAATTACCAATAATTTTTAATTTTACTATAGTTACCGCTCTCATTTTAATTTATGACAACGCATTGAATTAGATATAGCCAATCTGCCCATGGCAATGGTAAAAATTTCAAGTTGGACAAGTGGCCTACAGGAAAGAGTGCTAAGAGATAATATTAATTAGGTCATGCACTGGGTCGCGAAAGAAAATGTCCTCTGGACCTCTCGCAGAGTGCTGGGAGATAAAAATTAATTAGGTCAAGCCCTGACCGAAACCAAAATGTCCGTTGAACCACCCCCATATCATTTGGGAAAAACACCTGTTTTATGTCGAAGCTGGCCATGATAGCAAAATTATTTTATCAGAACGAATAATTGGCACCAAGGTACGATATCACCGGATTGACCACCCACTTGTTTGGCGAAGGTCCCGAGTGATGAATTCCAGGTGACATTCAGGATAAAATTGAGATTAAGAGACCACTACGAGTCGTATTAGGTTGTTGTCGAGAAGAAGAAAAAGAAAGAGAAGAAAAAGAAAAATGGCGATAATTTTTTTTTCTTTGAGCAAGAATTTTTAAACCGAGGCTAATCCGCTGAGCACCCATTGGCTGAATTTTGGCGTGAGCGTTGGGCGCAGGTAATCATGTGAAGAAGGAGGGGAAACCTGTTGACGCCCCCTAAAGGGTTTGGGTGAGATACCCATATGAAAAAGGAAGAATCTGGAAGGACTTTCAAAAATGGAAAATAAAAAATTTTCCTGACCGAAAACAAAGAAGTGGATTGTGGATTTAGAATTATCAAGGAACCTCAAGCCCGCCCCGGTTTTGGTCGGCGTCCATATAAGCAGAGTCGCAACGAGTTGCGGCAGTTGAGTTGAGTTGAGTTGAGTTGAGTTGAGTTGAGTTGAGTTGTGTTGGCAGTTCGAAGTTCGCAGTGAAGTTCGCAGATGGAGATGCACCCGCCTCGCAGAAAGTTGACAAAGATTCCACACAAATCACGACCTCAACTTCTAACCAAGAACAATTTATTTTTGAAGAACGACTTAGACTAACACCAAAACAAGTTTTACGAATATCGCCTGAAGATACACCAAGAACCAGTTTCTTAAAGAACAAACAACTTAAGATGTTAAGACTCGCCTAACAAACACAAAGTGTCACGAATCCATATAGCGGGTTGGGAAGAAGACGCAGTCCTGTATTCAGCAACCAGATATAAAATATTGTTATCCTTTTTTTAACACATTTGAACTTTTCGGGTTATTACTTTATTTTCTTTTACATATACTTGTGCGGTGTTACCCTTGTCCGGACTCAGCTTGCATTACGGCCCGGCGACTGGTTGATTTCGTCTACCTAAGATCAACTCACAACGTGGGTAGGTTAGACTAGAAATCAAAGCAGTTACTTCGGTAACCAGACGTTGGAGGCGAGCTGAATCAGCAAAAGTTTAGAACGTCACATTTGGTGCCGCGACCAATACCAAGTCACATTGGTCATCACAGGACAGGATAGGACGGCGACGGCGCGGAGACAGACGGGGTGACATCACAATTGGCGCCGCGACTAGGACAGCACGGCGGGCGCGGCCAGGTAGACGTCACATTTGGCGCAGCGACACCGGGGGACGTCATAGTAAGCTTTTCCATTTCTGATTAGTAAATATAGTTTTTACTTAATGGCAATATCACCTAACCTCTACAAATTAATACAGAATGTTAAAAGATTTAAAACCTTATTAATTATTATAACTAATTTTTTTCAAAAATAAAAACAATTCTTCTTCATTATTCATCGAAACTTTTTTTTTTTATGGTCGTAGTATCCACAATATTTCTCATTCATAAAAAGTAATTAAAAGCTTTTCTAATTAAATAATGTCTTAGTCTTATTGCATTTTTTTTTATTTGAAGATTCAGAACAGATTTTCTGTAACTGGGGGGTCCGGTTTGACAAAAAAGATTTGATGATTAAAATTCTTCAAGGACTTGTCCTTACAATTAATATAACCATTAAGTGGTACAACAATGAATTTCTCGAAATTTCATAAAATTTAATAAATATAAAAATATTTTTATCATGATTTTTCGAAAAATAACGTTTCTAAAATAATCTCATCCATTTGTGAATTTTTTTTAATTTTTTTTCAAATATTTCCAAATTAATATGGACAATTTTTACACACTCTATGTCCAGCCAAGGAGACACGGTGAAGAAATAGAGAGCCGTGTTCGAATTCCAGTCGAATCCATTACATTCATTTACGTAAGGTATGAATACTCTTCTCCCCCCAGTTATGGGTAAATAGCAGTACAGGCTGGTTTCTATAGCCTTTGATGGCAACTGGTCTACTGCAGAAAGAAATGGCAACCTACTGCGGGAAAAAATATCTGCCTCGTCAGTCATGTATCGAAAAATACACGATCGCCTAAGTGTGTATCACACATGGCACATAACTGACTGAATTTACAATGAATGATCTAGCAATTAAAGTACTTTCTATACATTTTCGTATTTGTTATATATATATATATATGTGTGTGTGTGTGTGTGTGTGTGTGTGTGTGTGTGTGTGTGTATACATATGGCACAAAAATGTACAAAAATACATTTTAAAAATACATAACAAAGAACTTTCGTTGTTTTTTTAACCAAACTTGTATAAATGATTTGTTACACAAATACACCCATATATGTGTGTGTGTGTGTGTGATAGTTACCCCCTACTAATTCGCTGACAAAAAGAGCATACCATGATGAAAAGATGCCCAAAACTTGTTTTATCGTCAAAATGTTTACGTTATTATTAAAAGGAAAGACCAAAGTCCTTTTTTAATTGTTTAATGAAATATTTTACACATTTCAAGCAACTTTGGTTATGTTATAGTGGAACACACCTATTCTATAGTTAATAGACTCTCCCACCTATAATAAGTAGGAGTAGTAAAAGTAACAACTCGGTCGATGTCGGACGACCGACTGATCGGTTGAACTCTCTGCCCTCGGGCGGGGAGGAACCCGAAAGAGGCTATGCCGAAGGGCGAATTCTCTTTCGGGGAGGTAAACTGACCCTGAACCCGTTTATACGGGTTCAGTGGGCATATTTTTGGCCCAGCCCACGGGCTCGGAGATCCCACGTTAAATCGGCCTTGTGCCACATGATGCCCTCGTGGGGGGTGACTAAATTTCGTCGACGCCGGACGACCGTTAGTCGGATACTAAAGTGTCAGCAACCACAACTAGATTTCTCTGCGTCATTACCTATTATATCAAGTTCTTAACGTTTTGTACGTCGAACCTATTTTAGGACCGACTTAGTACAAATACAAGCCTCCACTGTGAGACCACTCCATAACACACTTGGCGACGAGGTATTCGGATTCATACGGTGGAAGAGAGAAAAGAAATTCACACTCCATAACAAATTTGGCCACGCGGATTCGAACTCATACGAAGGAAGAAAAAAAAAATTCGTTCGCCATATAACAAACCTGGCGACGATGAATTCAAGCTCATACGGAGGGGAAAAAAAATTCACCCGCCATAACAAATTTGGCCACGAGTATTCGAACTCATACAGAGGAAGAAAAATTTTCATTCGCCACAGTATAATTTGGCGAAAGGATTCGGATTCAAACTGTGGAAGAGAAAAAAAAATTCGCCACAACATTATTTGATGACGAAATTCGTACTCATACGGAGGAAAAAGAAAAAACTTGCTCGTCACAATTTCGGCGACAACATCTCGGATTCACATTTTAAAAAAAAAAAAAACTTGGCAAAGTTTTTCGAAAGACAAGACGTCAACTGAGTGACGAAAAAAATCAGTCGTATTCTCAACTGAGAAAAGAATTTTTTTCTCGATAAAACAGTTTACTCAAATAGGTCACGAATTGCAAATTCGTAGGACCCCCCCCTCTACAATATTTAAGCATTGTGCAAACTTTTTGCGAAGATGGAGGAATGCAAAAATATATTCCAGGAAATTTTTAAGTTCCAGACGGAACAACAGATGACAATATTAGAGCAACAGAAAACATTCCAGATGCAACTACAGGAGGAAACTTTTAATAGACAAATGCAGTTTCAACGAGAAGTGGAACAGATGCATAAGGAGTTTCAAAACAAAATTCTGGAAATAACTGAGAAGAGGAAAGAGAAAAATATACAAAATGATTCTTTACCAGAAA